GCCCCAGACCTGCTGGGAAGCAGCTGGTGCCGCAGTAAGGAGAGGACGTCTGGAGCTCCCCCAGGGACACAATGCCCACCACTCCTCCCAGGGCCTCAGCTACCTGTCATCTCTCACTGCGGTCACTCTGAGTCCAGAGCACGTAGCTTGCAGGGACCTCCCTGCCGCTGCCCACCTGGCACGAGCTCCGTTACTGTCACCTGTCCCACAGCACACCGCCCATGGTACCCCCCCACCCCCGGCACCTCCATCCAGATGACAGGCCAGGGTCCCATCTGGCTCGCACGCTGGCAGCCGGCCCTGACAGCAAGTGATGGACACTCAGCACGCGGCCTGACCTCTGTCTGCCTCTGTCTGGCTCCAGTGGCTGCTGGGCACCTGGACAATGGCTGCCACGGCAGGGAATCACTTGTGGGACACATGGGCCATCCACGACCGACAGGGAAGCCAGATCTCTATCCACAGCAGCTTCCACCCTCAAAACACTAGACGACCACTTGGCGGTGGTGGCCTGGATTCCAAACCAGCAGGCAGGAAGTTTCACCACATTGAAAGGAAAGCTAGGAGGCCTGCAGCCGCTGAGCTCACATGTGAGGGACAGGAAAGGACCGTGTGATCCCACAGCCACCAGTGCTGCCTATGGCTCAGCTCTGTCACTGGTATGCTGGAGGCCAGCCTGGGGCCTCCACGCGCAGTGCGCCCAGGAAGTAAGAGGCTGGCGTGGCAGGCAGCCACCCACCTGCACACCTCCCCCAAGGCCTCCTCTGTCCCACCCCGGCCAGGCCTCCACAGGCCCCGTCCGAGCTCCCACCTGCACCTCAGATCTGCAGGCTTGACACAGAATCTACACTGCTGACCTCCACACCTTCACCCATCCCTTTCCAAGCTGAGGATAGTGAGAATCCCCCACTGGCCAGAGCTGGAACACAAACCAGGCAGGCTGGCCCCAAGGTCAACATCCACCGCCCCACGCCCCCCCACCGCCCTCGCCCCACACAGCCACGTGGGCTCTTGTGCACCACATTCCAGACAGATGGGAGCTGATCTCACTTACCTGTCCCTCCTGCTTCCCAAGCACGACACATTCTCTATGTCTCCTCCATACACCTGCACCCCAAGCCCCTGAGCCCAGGCCTGGCTCACACTGCTCCTCCTGCAGGAATGCTTCTCCCCACCTGCTGTGCATCTTCCCACGCCCTTTAGGCAGCCCTGAGGCCACCTTGTCCATGCAGCCTGATGTCCCTGTGAGTGTCATCAGGAAGATGACAGCCCCCCATATCCAGCTGCCCATGTCCACCTGCCACGCCTCACTGGGCTACTGCAAGCTCCACCACACTGAGCACAGGGGTGCAAAGGTAAGTAAATCCCTCTCCCTGCCCCTATTGGCCGAGTTGTGTTCCTTCTCCCCAAAACCATGTGCTCTTTCTCCCCCAAACCATGTGCTCCTTCTCCCCAAAAGTTCCCCAAAATTCCTAACCCCCGGTACCTTCAAACTGACTGTATCTGGAGGTGGGGCCTTTTGAATAATTACCCAGAGGTCATCACAGAGAGCCTTCATCCACGTGTTCCTATCAGAAGGGAGTGGAGGACATGGCACACACAGAGGGGTGAACATGTGAGCACAGGAAAGGTGCCACCTGAAAGCCAGGAAGAGCAATTGCAGGGGGCACAGCCAGCCTGTGACCCTGTGGCCTACAGCCTCCAGGCGGACAGTGGCTCAGGCCATCCAGCCTGGCCACCAGCCTTGATCCTTCATCACGGCAACCCTGGCAACCCTAGCAACCAGTGCACCTGCCCTCCAGGAACCTGGCATCAGGGAAGTGTCAGGACCAACTTCCCACACAAGCTCGAACAGCTCCCGCTCTCTGGGTATAAAATATGCACAAAGCCTGGTTTATCAGGCCCCCGGAGACAGTGCGGTTTGCCTACTCAGAATTCTCTGCAAGCACAAGAGAAAAGAGAGGAAGGCACCAATGTGCCCCAGGAGCAGGGACAGGCCCGCGGGGCTCTGGGACAATCACAGTCAAGACCGAACAATGCATCCAAGTTGAAATTCAAGGAAAGGTACGGGTGGGCTGTGCCTGGAGTGTCATCCACACATGCTTCCCAGAACCACTGCAACCAGGTCAGGAAGCACATTTCCCACCAGGGTAATATGAAATCACAGCCCAGAGGCAAAGACCAGGCTCAGGAATATTTTTATCCACCTTCAAATAACACCCCTGCCTCCCAGAGACGCAAGCGGGAGCCATCTGTACACAGCCCAATCTGGGTGCATACAACGGGAATTCGGGTTGGTTTCGATGAAACATTAATTTCCTATATAACAATTTTTTTTTTCACAGCTAAACAGCAGACAGAGAGGCAGTGTTTGAACTTCCAACCGAGTCCCCTTCCACGTCTCCATGGGAGCAGGAAGAATCAAGCCATTGCGAAGGGGGACTCGCATATGTTCCCAGAGCCCCAGGCACAGGGACTGTCTCCAAACCAGCTTGCATCCCACAGCCCCTCTGCCTAGGATACTCAAAAACGCTGTTTACAGAAGTCCTCGCCTCAAATGCTTTTTTAAAAAAATCATTCTGAAATGCACCTAACCCCGTCGGCAAGGTAAACTCTCTGCCCCGTCCACTGAGTCTGCAGGCAGAAATAAAATTCTGCATGCCCTGCTCAGGAAAGCAGCCTCAAGTTTGGTCGTTTCCGGATTGCTTTCAAAGATGGTGCTTTCAAGTGGAGGAGAAACAAACAGCCAAAGGCTGGCCCGAATCTCAGAATCCAGGCTGCGAGTGGAGAGTGCAGGGTGTGAGATGCATTTCCAAGACACCTCAAGTGCCAAGAAGGGACTCCTATGCATGCAGCCTGCACGCAGCAAACAGCAGTTTAAAGGCACAGCCTAGCAGCCAGCTCCCTGCAGCAGCCCTCCTTCCGCTCCCTCCACTGCCTGAGCTTCCTCCAGAAAGCCAGACTTCAAAAGCACGGCCTGCTCCCCAGCTTCTCCAGAGTGAACCCCAATTTCTCAACCATCCAGGGCAGGGCCAGTGGGGCAGTAGGAATAGGGATGGGTTGAAGCCAAATTCCCAGGTCAGCATCTTAAGGAGGTGCCCTTCTCTGGTCCCCAGAGCCAGCTAATCCTCAGATGCTTATTAGGTGCCTGCGAAAGGCCTGGGTGAGCCCCATATCCCTGGTGGCCCCAGCCGCAGGAGATAGGCCCTCAAAGACCTCTCTGGTTCCTTGCACACAGTCCCCACCCCACTAAGAAAAAGCCAGCATGGCCCCCAAGCCCACCCCTAATTACCTCCCCCTCCACCAACACTCCCTGCCAGCAACTCAGTCATGGCGCTGGGGGGAGAACAGCGGGTCCTCTCTCAGCCCCAGCACCCCAGCCCACTGGCCAACGCCCCTCCTCAGCTCTCTCCCAGGAGGCTACCCAGGGCGAGGCTCTGAGCTCAGAACGGGGTCACAGCGGGCACTGCCTGTCCTGATGGCAGCTGGCCTGCAACCTCTCCGCCTGCCCCAGTGAGTCTCTCCTTTCACACACAGCCCCACGGCCAGATGACAAAGGACCGAAGTTAGCCCCTGGATGACAACCTTGGCAGATGGGGGTGGGCAGTAGATATTCCCAGGCCCACGGGCTTTCCTCTAATCATCATTTGTGCCTCCAGATCTTGGCTTTGTGCCAAGGCAGGGCATGGCTTACGGTACAGGGGACAGTGAGTCCACAATCCCAGTGAGTCCAGTGGAGCTGGTCCGGCTGCATACCGGGGGCCTGACCCTTAGCTCAAGACGAAGGGAGGGTGCCCCCAGATCGTCCAGGGAGAAGCACCCCAGTGGGAACCCTGACTCCCCTCTTGGCTCCCTACCTCCAGAAGTCAGTTCTGCCCTCTGCCAGCTGCTAGTCTAATCTAGGGTGCAGAAACGACCCCAGACCACAGGCTTGGCAATGGCACCCTAGCAGCCACCAGCTGGGGGAGGGGGCAGCAGGACACTGGGCTCAGGGCCAAGCAAGTCCACTCAGTGCCACACCCGACCCAGCATGCTCCTCCAGCACCCCCACCCCTTCTCCAGCCAGTCAGCAGCTAGGGGTGCTGCTGAAAGAGGAGACGTGGAAGCTGGGCCCATCCTGCTCACAGAGCCAGACACAGACCCAGCCTGCTCCACTCCCCATGCACATACCAGGGGCCTCAGCTCGCACTGCCTCCTGCAGCTTCAGGGAGCGGGAGCACGGTGGACACAGCCACTGGGGAGACTCCAGACAGCACTGCAGAGGTGCAGGGGACAGCAGCAGTTCATGGCTACCTGCCCCTTCCCCCAAACTCGCCAAACTGGAGAGGACCCAGCTGGGGCTGCCCAGGGGTGATCCTGGAAGGGCCACCCAACTCTCACCAGGAAAGCAGGCTGAGCCAGTGCCCCCCACCACACTGAACTCTGTAAGAGACCCCCAGCCCCAGCCCAAGGGTGAAGGGAGAACCACTTCCAGCCACTGGGAGGCCAAGTGGAGGAGAAAGTGGGGGAGGGCAGGGAGTTTGCAGCCCACCAGCCAGCCAGAGGGGTACAGCTCCAGGGCATCTGGGTGCAGCAGACAGGACCTCAAGGAAGCAGAGAGTGTTAACCCTGGAATGGAGAGCCGAGAACCGCACAAGGAGCTGACAGGGCAGTCCTGGAGTCCACAGGGTCCCCCAACCAAGTCCCAGAAGGCACCGCTGAGCTAACCCCGGAATGAATGTGCAGAGGACCCGGCAGCCCGGGACTGCGGGGAAGTTCCCCACCCCAGCGGACCTCCAGGATAACCCCGGCTGTGCAGGACAGTCCCTTAGCGAGTCGGCGGCTCACCTATCTGGGGACAGTTCCCCAAGTATCGAGTGATCGGAGGCCGGCAGGGGCGCCGCGGAGGTGACCCGCATCCCCAAGTCGCCAAGATCGACCCGGGCGCCTACAGCGCGTGCGGAAGCGGGGGCCGCGGCGGGTGTCCCCAGGGCGTCCCGGGGTGTCGCTGGGTCACTTACGCTGCTGTTCTCGCCCGTCCAGTGCACCATCGCCTGGTTGTGCGTCGCGTCTCCCTTGAGCACGAACGACGTGCTGATGAGCGAGACCTGCGCCCGAGGGGCCGCCCGCGTCCTGCGCCCCCCGCCGGGAGCGGGGGCGCCGTCCTCGTGGGGATCCGGGGCGGGGGCGGGACGCGGGGCGCCGGGCTCCTGGGGGTCCCCGCGGTCGCCGGCCTGCGCGCGCCCCGCGAGAGGGCTCCGCGGGCCCCGGGTCAGCAGCGCCCGCGGCCCCCCGGGCTCGGGCGAGCGCCCCGCCGCCCCGCAGGCGGCCAAGAGCAGGAGCAGCAGCAGCGGCCGCGCGCGGGGCCAGCGCGGCGACAAGGACGGCGGCCAGGGCGAGGGCTCCCTGGGGCTCGGGGCCGGGGCGCGCGGGGGCCCCCGAGAAGCCATGGGGCCGAGGGCGCGGGGTGACGAGGAGCCCACGGCCGGGAGCGCAGAGCGGAGGCGCCGGGGAGCGCGGCCAGGGCGCGGAGAAAGAGCCGGCGTGGGGCGGGCGGAGGAGGGGACTGGCGACCGCGCGGCCGAGTGCGCAGCGCCACCTGCCGGCCAGCTGGGAGGGACTGGGCCGGGCGGGAGGCCCGAGCCAGGCGCACCTGGGCTCAATCGGATCCGGTTTCTCCCTGCCTTCTCCCTTGGGCTCTGAGTCCTCCGCAGCTTTCTAGCCGTCCTCGGTATTCACTGCGCACCCACTGTACAGCAGCTAGGGTCCCAGCACCAGGGACGGAGCGGTGACAAACAGCCAGGTCCCACCCGGCGAACAGTCTGCAGGGGAGACGAACCACACCCAAGGGGACCAGGTTGCGGGCACTACTCCAGAGAGCCAGACTGGGCTCCTGGACCGGGTCCCCGCCTGGGGGTCTCCATGGAGGGGCAGGGAAGGAGCCAGGGCCAAGAGGCCTGGAAAGGAGGCCTTCCACACACGCCCTGCCACCACCCACCTCCCCAAGGTATCCTGACTCCACCCAGCTTCATGGCTTACCCCACCCCAGGGACCACCCCGGACCCCTGAATCAGACACAGTGGCTGGATGGAGACACCGTGGAGAGGGCAGCAGGGTGAGGAGGTCTCGGTGGTACCTGGTCGGCCCCATGAAATGTGTGCAGAGCAGAAGGTGCCAGCCGACATCATGTAGCTAGCTACTCAGTGTCTGTTAAATACCAGCATGGGGCTGTGTGCCCCAGACTGAGCCTGGAGTACAAACACAGGGCAGAGGTGTCCCCAGGCAAGCCCAGGGCGAGCTGCGCCCCCTCCACTCTTCCCCAAAAGCCCCCACCTTAGATCTCCTAGCACCCAGCTAGGCCTCTGCAGAGAAAGAACAGGGTAAGGCTGAGGCCCCAGGACTCCAACACTGGGGAAAGACCGGGAATAGGGAACTATCCCGCCCCTGAACTGAGGCACCAGCGCCCTCGCCGGGAAATGCCGTCCTACAGCACAGGCAGCAGGGCCCACGGCGCCCCGTGCCAGGGCTGGGGCAACGATGGAGGATCTGACTGCACATCCGGAAAGGTCTCCCTCAGCGCCGGCCCTCACGTGCTCTGTGATGTGGATTCTCAACCTACCGGCATCTGGTCTGGCACAGGATACAGGAACCGCGCTGAGGTTGAAGGGTGCCCCGGTGGGCGGTGAGAGGGGAGCCAGTTCTGGTTCCGTCCCAGCCTGGCCACAACTCCTCCAGCTCCTCCCCCACCCCAAGAGGGCTGTGCAGTCCCTGAAGTCTCATCCAAACTCTGCTGTGGTTTAAATAAAAGAATCCTCTAAAGATTGAATGGACACAAGTCCCTGTGTGCCCACTACCTTTGGGGCACTTCCCTTCCAGCTGCACTCGAGGACAAGGCCTCTGCTCCCAGGCACTGCAGCGCCGGGCTCTGGTGTGTCACCCTTGTGGCCTGGCTGTGGCACGTGGACGATTGTCCCCATTGGTGGATGAGGGAAGGCACTCAGAGAAGCTCAGCAGTGCCCTGAGGTGGCCCTGCTGTGTATGCAGAGGCTGGATTCTGACCCGATTCTCTGACCTCCGGACCACTCAGCATCACCTGGGTTTTGTGTCACCTGTGTGCAGAGTCCTCCGTGATTTTGCCCCTCAGATTCAGATCCCAGCTGCCCACCCACAGCTCCCTGACCCTGGGATTTGCATGGCTAAGGCCCCCCAGCTGAGAGAGGGCACGGGTCTGGACCACAGGAAACACAGCACCCTGCCCAGCTCTGCCAGAGCCCTCCACTGCCTCTGTCCTGGTGAGCCGAGGAACAGGACTGGCTCATCCCTTCTGCGCAGCCGAACTCAGGTCCTGGGGTCCCAGCCATGAGAGGCTGGACACGGCAGGATGATGAGGGAGTAGGACAAGGGCCCCTGCAGGGGGACAAGTGCTCAGGAAACCAATTTCAGCCACCAGTGAGTTCCTTGAAGGAAAGAAAGCTGCCACCGGATAAAGAGAGAAGAGGCTCAGACCACAGATGTCCCTACACCTGGAAATGCCAGAGGCTGACCATCCAGGAGCCAATGGCAGGAGGGGGCTGGCCTGGGTAACACAAGAAGTGCCCAGCTGGGAGGACCCCAGGGCGCTGGGCTGACAGAGAAAGAGATACTCAGCCCTGCAGGTGCCGTGCTTGAGCCCAGCTGAGCATGGACACTGGGCCTCTGCGCTCAGAATGCATCAAAAGTCACACGTGATGATCCACAATGCCTAGGGCCTAAGACAGGAAACCAGCCTGCCTGCCCTTCCCCTGCCCGACCTTCCCAAGAGTCCCCCAGCTCCACTCTGCCCACCCAGCTCCTAAGGAACAGAGGAGCTGCTGTCTGGGCTGAGGGAAGAAGGTAATAGTGACAGTGACAGCAGCAGTGCCGATAACATGACATTGTCTACGCTTCTTCCCTAGGTCCCCCCAGTGTGCAAGTCACCACAGTGACCCTGTCTTCCACCAGCTCCACCAACTAGAGCCACAGCAGGGGGACTTTGGAAAAATCCCAGTGCCAAGGTCCTGCCCAGGCCTCCAGAGGTGGGAACCCCAATATTCTGTCTCCCTGGGTGGTGACAGAATGTACACCCAGCTGTGGGCCCACTGCCCCAGGGCTGGGGACTAAGCCTGGGGTTTTGCACAGGGTAAGCAAGGGCATCCCCAGCCTCTGTGTGACTTTTTTATAATGTGGTGCATGCCTGTAATCCCAGCTACTCAGGAAGCTGAGGCAGAAGGATCACAAGTTTGAGGCCAGTCTGTGCAACTTAGAGAGATCTTCCCCCCCCACCACCAGTAAGTTGTTTTGTTTTGTTTTGTTTTGTTTTGTTTTGTTTTGTTTTGTTTTAGACATGATCTCTCTATGTAGCCCAGGCTGGCCTCGAACTCCCGGCAGTCCTCCTCTCTCGGCCTCCAGAGTGCTGAGATTACAGGTGTGTGCCACCACGCCTGGCTTTTGTCCCAATTTAAAGAAAAAAAAGGAGAAGAAATAATTTAAAAATAGAAAAGGTCAAACCAAAAGTAACTGAGAGGAGGAAAGGACTCAGGAGGAAGTAGATGCTGACAGCTAGCACACTAGCAGGACCCCAGTAAATGATCTTCTCACAGAGGGAAGGGGGTTCCTGGAACCCAGTGCAAACTCGCTACAGAGACCCGCGCCCACCTGCTTCACAACAGCGCTGTGCCCGGAGGCGGGAGGGCGCTCCTTCTCCCCAGCCTTTAATCAGACCACTGCTCATTAGAAGTCCCCAGTCTTTTTAAATTATTGACAATCCCTAGTGAAAGTATTTTAATTTATCTTCATAAACGCAGCAGCACTAGAGCCCCGCATCTCCACACAGGGCCTGCTTTGGGTGTCTGACACCACTGGTGGAAGCAGCACCGGGGACCAGGCTGGTGAATCCCCAGGACACTCTCGACCCCCCACTGCTATGAGATACAGAAGTTCCGTCTCCTCTCCAGACCAGTGGGCTTCGGAGGTCACAAGGAGTCACCTACTCCTGACTGTCAGCTACAATGAGGACTAAGAGGTGACCAGTGCAACAGTCTTAGTGTCAGAGTGTCAGGGTGCCAGAGCTCGGCAGTGGGGACCGCAGACCAGAAGGCCACATTTTGAAGGACTTCCGTTGCTGCATTAGGGCCCGGGCAGGGACAGCCTGTCCCATGGGCCAGCCAGGCCCTGCGGCGGGAAGTGTGAGGAGCTGGCTCAATCTGCCGCCCTCCCATGCGCGCTAAGCACCTACTGTGTGCCTGGTACTGTTTCAGCCTCCAGGGAGACGGCAGGGAACCACAGCCCAGTCCCACCCTCACGGGCTCATACAGAGGCACAGACAGGCTCTAGTAGAGGCAAGGAGAATGGGGGGACAGCAGGATGATGACAGCAGGGCCCCGGGGTCCCTTCTCAGGACACGACCCAGGTACCTGAGCACCTCCCACTCAGCCCACCCTGGTGCCACCTCTCGGTAGTCAGGACCAAGCCACCACCACAGGGCACCCATGGGGGACATGGGCAACCACCTCCAAGCCAGGGTGCTTCATGCAGATAACGAGGCGCTGGTGTGATGCTCAGAGCAGCTGGGCCACAGAAATGGGGCCTCCGTGGGACAATGACGGAACCGCCCGGGGAGCCTCGCCTGCATCACACGCTGGCCCTCCATGGGGTGAGGCAGGGACAGCCTCCTCTGTCTCCTGCCCAGGAGGTGCAGCCTCCAGGGAGGAGGAGCTGAGCAGGGTGTCCTGCAGGGGCAGCGCCTCCTGCCAGCGCCCCCCACCTGCTCTCATTCTTCCGCTCTCTTGGCCCCGCACCAGCTGTGTGCTCTGGGCCTCAGTTTCCCCACTGTAAAGTGAGAAGAGGGACTCTCCCAGATTGCTAACCCCAGGAAGGGCAGCCGACCGTGTGTCCGCGTCAGAGTCTCCTGACAGTTGACGTGTGAAGGACTGAAATGCTCTGTGATTTAAAACTCTGATTCTGATTCTTTCCATTGTCCCCCACCTTTTGACCCCGTGACTCTTTATTTCTCTTAACAACTATAAACTACAAACACCCCAGAGAACTTGCGCTATTACAGAAATATGTGCTGAGCACGAGGAGGAAAAGGGGGAAGATTTCTTCTGCCGGAGGTGATGGCATTCCAGAAAAGTACATGGGGTGCCCAGGGCCTGGTCACTGGAAAACGGAGGGACAGAGACACAGAGGGTGGTGGCCCCATACGGATCAGCCAACAGCCTGCCAGGTGGAGGACAGGGTGGTGACTGGCAGCTAGGGTGCAGAGGCTGCAGGCCCCAGTTCTGCATGGTTTAAATAGGAGGCATCCTCCAAAGACTCAGGGCAGAGGGCTGGGCCCCGGGAATGAGTAGGGACCTGGAGTTGACCGGGTCAGTTGAGTGTGCAACTGAATGCTGGGTGGGCTCCCTGGAGTGTGCCTTGAGGAAGTATTCTGTCCCCACCCCTTTCTCTCTCCTTGTCCGTCCCCCCACTGCTTCCTGGCTGCCTGTGAGGTGAGCAGCAGTCTCCAGAACACTCTTCAGCCC